ATAGTGCTGCACCTTTTTATATGTACAAATATTTAGGGAAATCACAATGGGGTAGGGAAGCATTACAATATATAGAAAACCACAATTCAATGCATAGATCATGGAAAAACTAAACAATGTAAATACTGATCTAGTTAAAAGAGGATCATCAGAAAATCATTTTTGTATTTTAACTATTTTCAACCTCAGTATTCTTAGCACACTTGTTATGTTTTAGGAAGAATATTTTTGTAAGTATAGTTATACATTTATAAACACAATTCAATTATTAATGAACAAGAGCTCGTTCACAGTATCTCCATTGAGCCGCATTGATCTGCATAGATCGGCTCAACCCCAGGGCACAACTAAACATTTGTTTTCTTTGTGGCCTGTTCATACCAACAGCAATGTGTTGAGGTGGGTAGTGCTACAGAAATGTGTAGCTCAGAGACAGAGAAAGAGAGAAAGAGAGAGAGAAAGAGAGAGAGAGTGATAGAAAAAGGAGAGAGATAAAAGAGAGGGGGGAGAGAGAGAAAGAAAAGAGAGAGAAAGAGAGAAGAGAAGAGAGAGAGAGAAAGAGAAAGAGAGAGAGAGTGTGTGATAGAAAAAGGAGAAAGAGAAAAGAGAGGGGGGGAGAGAGACAGGGGAGAGAGGGGGGGGGGAGAAAAGAGAGAGGGGAGAGAGGGGAGAGAGAGGAGAGAGAGAGAACGAGAGAGAGAGCGAGAGAGAGAGAGAACGAGAGAGAGAGGGAGAGAAAGAGAGAGAGAGAGAGCGCGCGCGCGGGAAAGAAGGAGAAGGAGCAAAAGAGAGAAGGAGAGAGAGAAGGAGCGAAAGAGAGAAGGAGTGAAAGAAAGAGTAATTAGTAACAATGCAAAGCACTAACATTTACTGCCTCTGCACAACAGACACCAGAACACATGCGTTATAGCATGCAGGTTGGAGTGAACAAGCCCTAAAGAGTATCCATAGCAAGCAATTAAAAATGTACCTTACTAAAGACACACCAGTGTAAGATCAGCTTAACTTCCTGTTTTTCGTAAGCAAAAACAAGTAGATTAATCCATAAATCTCTTGGAAGGGCAATATCCTTAATAGGAAGTGCTGTCCCCATAGCAGCCAGTCAAAATCACATATGTGCTGGTCTGATGTCATCGCAGTAATATCAAATTGGTTTTCATGATTTACTGCCCTTTGCATTAAATACTTTTATTCTATGTAGAGGAATAAAGTTTAGCTTATGCATACCCATCTGAGTGTGAATACCAACACAGATTTTTAGAAGCAGTTATGAAAAAGGAGCAGCAGTCAACATCTGCAAGCCTTGAAGAAAAGTTTCTGTTGCTCTTACTTTAACAATAAACATATTTTTTGGGTGGTCCAATCATTATGAGTGGTCTGTTTATATAAGATCTTGCTTAACCTATATTTTTACTATACAAGAACTGGTATGATATGGAATCAATTTTTAAAGTGTCCTTAATATATATAAAATCATAATTCACACACTATGGGACTTATTTACTAAAACTGGAGAGTGCAAAATCTGGTGCAGCTCTGCATAGAAACCAATTGCCTTCCATGTTTTTTTTTTTTGGTCAAAGCTTCATTGAAAAAGCTGAAGCTAGAAGCTGATTGGTTATCATGCACAGCTTCACCAGATTTTGCACTCTCCAGTTTTAGTAAATCAATCCCTGTGTAAAACTACACAAGGTAACCAATATTAAATAAAGTGACTAGTACACCAAGAGGTTTACTAATCACTTTAAGGTTAATGCATTATTATCGATATTGGAAAACATATTATGTTGTATATAATATATGTATATAAGTCAACTATGTTTTATGGTTCAATGCATTTTTATTCGATTTTACATTAGTAAACCATGGAAGGTAAATTATCTTGATACATTCAATCAACTATGTTTTAGTAACAAACTCTGTCCTATTTGTCATATGGACACTTATGACAATATAGAAAAATAAAAGACTGTGGCTGAGTTTTCAGTTTAAATTTAGTAAAAGTAAAACCTTTACTAAGAAAAAGAGGGAAGGCTGCCACTGCTGACCCCTTTTTGAAAATACTAATATTGGACTGTCACTGGCTTCAACATTCCAGGTCCCAAACCCAGAACACACATGAAAATAATATACATGCTTATTCTGGGTGCATAATTTAGGAAGTCCGGAAACGGGGGGTTAGAAAGAGCAGTTAATAACAGCAACCTCCATATCTAATATTGGTTTGCTTTAGGCTAGGTTCACACAGATGTGGTGAGAGTGGAATCCATTTTGCCGTGCTTTATCAGGAGCAGCTCCAGTGTGAGTTGGTACTGGAATCTCCTGGAATCCACAGCAGCAGTTTCCATTCAAGTCTGTGGCGCTACAAATGGCAATACACTAAGCTCGCACAGGTCGCTTTTTCAAATCATAATCAAATTGCACTGCATACATGTGAACATCCTCTATAGAAATTCATGTTCTTTCACTTGTCCTGCGACTTTATGCTATCTGGAACGCATCATAAATTGTATCAGTGTGAACCAGGGCTCAAGGCTTTTGACACCATAGATCTACATAATGGGCAGCACGGCAGCTTAGTGATGGCAGCATTGGAGTCATCAGTTGGAATCCCAGTAAAGACACTACTATGGCGTTGATTTACTAAAACTGTAGAGTACAAAATCTGTTACAGCTGTGCATGATAGCCAATCAGCTTCTAACCTCAGCTTCTTCAATTAAGCTTTGACGAAAAACAAAAATGGAAGCTGATTGGTTTCTATGCTGAGCTGCACCAGATTTTGCACTCTGCGTTTTAGTAAATCTCCCCCTTGTTGTATGGAATTTGCATGTTTTCCCTGTGCTTGTATGAGTTTCCTCCTGGTACTCTGGTTTCCTCCCACATGTCAAAGAAATTCTGGTTAGATTAGTTGACTAAATTAGTCTAAATTTAAATCCACATTGTTTTACAGTTATAAATTCATAAAAATACAGTAATTAGTAAGTGTAACTTTATGATCATCAACAAAGTATAAAATTGGTGTGGTGGCAAAAAACCTGAATATTCTACAACTCTAAAAGACTTTGTTCTACATCTCCGGAATAGTACAAATTATATCTAAATTCATATACTTGAAGTAGGTTACTTGATCTCAGACATGATATTACCCAGCTAGAATGAGAATAATCTATCTTTATATGCCATTTCCTTTAATATTTAAATATAATGACTAGAAGAGGGCTCTGATTATGGTAGGTTAATTGGCTCATTTTCCAAATTGCTGCTAGTATGTGTGTGCATATATGTATGCATGTGACCTTAGACTGTAAGCTCCTTGAGGGCAGGGACTAATGGGAATGTACAACATGTAAAGCGCTGTGTAAATTGTTGGCGCCATGTAAATACATGTATTGCAGATTACCTTTAAGAAACCCCTGCAAGGATATGTTCCTAACTAAGCAACAGGCACTGTGATGACTACATGAGGATGTGCCAATGATGAGTGGGATAAAACTATGCTGGTATTCAAAACAATCACTGTTAACAAAAGACACCAGGCCAGTTATGATGTCGCTACAATACAAGTATGCTAAAATCAGCATGAATAACAATCTACATTGTGTCACAACCATAACTTCTGGAAAATACAATACTTAATAAGTGGAACTTTCTGACTTTCTACAAAAGGAAAAAGAATTGAATTTCTACACCTCTAGAATACTTTGTTCTACATCTCCGGAACAGTAAAGGTGATATCTACATTCATGATACACGTGATATGAGTTAACTGATCTCAAACAAGATATTACCCAGCAAGAGAAGGAAGAATTTCATTATTTGCCATTTCTTTCATCATCTTATTAATGATCAATAACCCATGACAGAATAGGGCTGTGATTTTGGTACATTAGCACCATACATTTTACTATCAGGCTCAAGTGAAGTCATTGCAATCAATCATAGTAACATGTTTTAAAATTCTAACTGCTTTATTCTAAAGTCTGACTGGTTGCCATAGGTTACTGCATATATCTTCTCAAATAAAAAGATTATAAAGGCAAGTAGAAAGCCTCACAGATAAATAGATGGATAGAGAGATAGTGAGAGATTAACAGGCAGATAGATAATTTGTCAATAATTAATTAGATAGATATAAAATAAGAACTGTCAGTACTGGCTCTCATATCTGGGCCCCCCTACTTGTCTATTATTACAGAATGAGAAAAGACTGCCAAGCTGGTTTTAGAGCAAACAGAACTGTCTAAATGCATTGAGTTACAATGTTTACACATACGGTACAGTGAAGTACATCATCAAAGGAATGAATCACCATCACAGTCGTAACTCTTAAGATGAAGATCAATACCACCCATAAGTCACAAGTCCAATATCAAGGATTAAATTAATAAAGAAGCAGCAGCTTAAGGCATAGCCAATTTCTTAACTATTAGCTCCAAAATTTGCACTCTGCTCTATCCCTAATGTATTAGTAATACAATAAAGCAGTTTTACACGTTTCTGAGATTTGTTATGCAGACATGCATACAACATGTTGTGATTCATTCCTGTACTAATAAAGTAAAATGGACTCATTACTATTATCTAGGGCCATAAAAGAGTAATGTTCCACTTTACAGGCATCTCCAGCTCTAACTGTACATTAAGTGCAGATAGTTCTTTAATATTTAAGAGTATGTCAGGGTTTGTATCTGTTTCTAAAGCATGTCAGCAGGATGACCAATGCATACGAGATGACCGACGCATATGAGTGCATGGGACTTGTTTTTTTTGTTTTTATCCTTTGCGAATAGATATATCCTGGAGTGAGCAAGACAAATAGATAGGTCCTGGAGAATAGATAGATAGATAGATAGATAGATAGATAGATACTGGAGTTCTTAAAATATGTAGGTAGGTCCTGAAAAGGGATAGATAGATCAATACTGGAGTGGTATGAAAAAGAGAGAAATAAATCCTTTGCATTGACTCAACCCTTATCTCCCTTTATATTACACCTTACCCCCAGAGCTGCTCTAGAGCTGCCCCCCCCCCCCCCCCCCCCGTCTCAGACAAACTCAACTGCTTTGGCAATGCTAAAATGTATTTAGTCATGTCAATAAAGCTTATTTGAATAGAGAGAGAGAGACATAAAAGAGATATATGGGTGAGAGCGAGAGATATGGAGATATGAGATGGAGCCAGAGATATGAGAGGAAGACACAGTGAGAGAGAGGGAGACAGAGGAGAGAGAGAGAGAGAGAGAGAGAGAGAGAGAGAGAGAGAGAGAGAGAGAGAGAGAGATAAAAGAGATATATGGGTGAGAGCGAGAGATATGGAGATATGAGATGGAGCCAGAGATATGAGAGGAAGACACAGTGAGAGAGAGAGAGAGAGGGGGGGGGGGGGGGAGGGAGGGAGAGGGGGGGGGGAGGGAGAGAGAGAGCGGGGAGGGAGAGAGAGGGGGGGGGAGACAGAGAGGGGGGAGAGAGGGGGGGAGGAGAGAGAGAGATGGGGGGGGAGAGAGAGAGGTAATATGTAATCTATATACTTCCCTACAACATTAGTTGCAATTAGACAGATTAGGTAGATGGACACAAAGATAGATAAACAGCTTAACATTTCATGGAGACAGAGAGTAATGCTACCCAGTTACCTTTAGCACTAAAACAATGACAATATGTTTACAAATAGAGAAAGAGATAGAGCAAAAGCTTTACAAATGATGAATCAAAGCCACCTAGATTTATGTTTTTAGCAAGTACTATATATTAACATACTAATAATAATGACAACAACAACAATAATAAGGGTAGAGAGGAATAGCAGTATGCAATGTGTTTGCTTATTACACAATGTGGCCATGTATAGTTATAAGTTCTGCTGCCAGCTCTGAAAGCTACCTGTTAGAGCTGCCACTTTAGCAGGCAACCTTGGTGTATGCAATCTGTCAGTCTGTGTACAAACATACTTCATGCACTGATGTAGGTGACGGCAGTTATCCAGTGTAAGGCAGGGATTAGCTTTACATACATGTTGCACACTATAATAAGCTTTAACACACAGAGTGCATATTTGGCCTCACATACATGTTGCATACTATGCCAGCACCTAGACACTATGGTGATTCTAATCTTTAATTTAAAAAAAAAATAACTTAAACCACTAGTCCAAGCTCCGATAAAATAAAATCTACAACATACTGTGGATGAGGTTAATATTGCATACCATTCAGGCTCAGCTTGACATCTACCTGTTGCAAAACTGGAATTTAAAAACTTAGGATATAGATGACGTTGTTTCCATGGCATGGCAGACTATAGCCAAGTCATTTACATGCAGTTAGCTGCTTTCTGCCTTGTCCTGAGGTTGCTGACACACAAGGTATACATTAAAGATCAGTAAGCATAAATATATGTATTTGTTTGTAATATCTCTGCTATTCACATATATGAATAATAGAGCAGAAGTTACTGAACACATGTTCTCACTCAGAAGGACCCGCAGAGTCTGGCTCAGCCAAGCTTTGATAATGTTTAAAACACTGACAGAGGACCTCAATGTTTGAATGCCAAAAGAATGATCACATAACATACTGTCAACAGGGATTATTTTCTCTATAAAGCAACAAAGGGAAAACAATTTACATCTAGGGATATTTGCTGCACATCAGGAAATTGCATCAGTCTAATGCTTTCAACAGAATCATGCCAAACACACATACTGCTAATAAACTGGAAATGCTTCCCACAAATTGAACTTTCATATTAAGAGGAGAAAAATGATATGCTGGCTGTCCGTTTTGTTTGTTTTCACAATCATTATCAGATGAGACCTCAATAACTAGCTTGAAAAGCCAAGTAGCACAAAGCTTGTCACATACTCAAGCAGGCAGAAACTATTCAACCTTAGCTGCATGTGCATGAGTGTTGACCGTACCTGAATTATAGACATCCGATTTGATGTAGTCTCAGTTGTGCTGCTCACTGGTCCAGTAAAACTGTTGTGGCAGGCAACATGGCCTTGAGGAACAGTCAGATTGTTAGATGTAGGCTTCAGGTACATCACTTCCGAACGAGGGGAACTGAGTGGGAGACGGGTCTGGTAATCAAAATACATTGGAGATGTGGCAAGTGAGGGGCTGCTTACCACATTCATCACATTCATAGCATTTCTCTCTTCCACTTCACTCTGGACTAACATAATGTCATTCTTGTTGATTTTCTTCTTCTTGCTTTTCCCTATCTGAGGGTGACTGTATTCTGCAATCCTGCAGTTATAAGTTCTTATTTCCTTATTTTCCCTTTTACACTTCACGGCTATAGTGATCATGGCGGCCAACAGTATTATGGAAATTGTGCTTAACGTAACAATAAGTGGCAAAGACATATCCCACTGATGATGATTGCCATTGACCTGGGGCTCTCCCTCTGGTAGAGATCCAGTAGAAGACCTAATGATGAGTTTAGCCACAGCAGAGAGTGCCGGTTTCCCATTGTCAGTCACTTTAATCACCAGTTCTACAACTGGTGAAACATCTTCCCAAAACTGATTGAGAGTTCTAATCTCACCAGTCACAGGATCAATTTCAAACAGGTGCTCTTCGTTCCCATAGGCAATTTCATAGGTCAGTCTTCCACTTTCTCCAAAATCATTGTCCATAGCTCTGACTGTGCTCACCACATACCCCACACCTACATTCCTAGGGACATGGATTTCTGCAGTGTCATTTTGCAGGATAGGTAGAGAGATCACTGGGGCATTGTCATTAACATCCAGCACAGTCACTCTTACAGTAGCATTACTTTCCAGGTGAGGAGATCCAGAATCTTTTGCAAGAAGTTTAAATTCAAAATACTTGGTTTGCTCATAATTAAAAGATCTAAGAGCATAAACTGCACCATTGGTGGGATTTACAGACACAAAGGTGTAAATTGACACATCCCCAACATAGGACGGCAGTATAGAATAGGAAACTGTGCCATTGTGTCCAAGATCTGGGTCATGTGCTACAACAGAACCCAAATACTCCCCTGGTATGTTGTTCTCAGATACTTGTAGCACATGCAGTCCTTTGTTGAAAGTGGGTGGATTGTCATTTTCATCAAGAATCTTAACTGTAAACGATTTGGAGGAGTTTAAAGGAGGGTTCCCATTATCTCTGGCAATTATAGTTACATTGTACTCATCCTGTGTCTCGCGGTCAAGAGGCCTGTCTGTGACGACAGTATAAAAAATTATCATAGTTCTCTTCTAATTTGAAAGGCACATTGCCTAGGACCCTGCACTGTAATTGTCCATTCTTCCCCGAGTCCTTGTCAGTGACCCTCACTAAAGCAATAACTGTACCAGGGGGTGCTGCCTCACTAATTGCTCCCTGGCGGACTGATACAAAGCCAATAGATGGAGCATTGTCATTTTTATCTATCACTTTAACAGTAACTTTACAGTGTGCAGGGATTGGGTTTGGGCCTTGATCACGTGCTTGCACATCAATTTCAATCAGGTTATTTTCCTCATAGTCCAGATTACCCTTGACTTGGATCACCCCTGTGTTGGGATCAATAGAGAAGAGTTCATGAACCCTGTCTGGTGCATATCCACTGAAAGAGTATATGACCTCACCATTGGACCCTTCATCTGCATCTGTAGCATTGAGGTCAATGACAACTCTACCAATTGGGGAGTTTTCTGGGATTTCCACCATGTAAGAAGGTGCTTCAAAAACAGGGCTATTATCATTGGAATCTATCACTTTGACATTTATTTGCACAGTGGCTGATCTTGGTGGATTGCCACCATCTAAAGCTGTCAAAATTAGGTTGTGGTGACTTTGCTCTTCTCTGTCTAGTGGCTTATCTATAACAAGCTCAGGGAATTTGGTCCCATCTCCTCTGGACTTCACATCTAAGGAAAACAGGCCATTATGGTTGATAACGTATGTCTTCAAGCCATAGTCTCCAGAATCTGGATCATGGGCACTGGTGAGGGGAAACCGTGTTCCAGGAAAAGCATTTTCTGAAATATCAATATCGATTTGCTCAGAAGGAAAAAATGGTGAATTGTCATTAATGTCAGTTATGTCCACCTTCACCATATAAATTTCCTTATCGTTGGCAAAAACTTCCAAGGACACTTGACATTTTTAAACTTCTCCGACACAGGGTCTCGCGGTCAATCCGTTGCTTGGTAAACACCAACCCACTGTCCTGCTCCACATCGATTAGGTTTGGGGCAGAGTTTTCCAAGACCCTGAAGTTCGATTTTTTACCCCTTTCCGTTACGCCCACCTTTACATCGTTGCTTAGGTTGCCAACAATGGTGCCAGCTATCGCCTCCTCGGGGACAGAAAAATTTAAATTTTTCAAAGTCAGGGCAGGAGCCCACAAGAAAAATAACAATAAAACGGAAAGGTACATCCCCAAACGTGAAGGGTCTTCTCTGTCTCACTCTCCTTTTCTTCTCAGCTCTCTGAACCTGTTGATTTGAAAAAAAAAAAAAAAACACCTGCAGTTAGATAAGCAGCAAATGGACCATGGCAGAGAAGGCTGGCAGGGTTAAATCAGTGATTGTTTTCTGCTGGAAAGACAATTCTTCACAATCCTGTCAAAGCTAGCCATCTCTTTTTTTTTAAAGATATTAATTGGAATAGACCATTTAAAACACCATATCCCTGCTGTGCCATAAAGAAGAACATCAAGGTAAAATATCCTTATCTCCTGAACGTTATTATTCTGCTATCATTACTAGCAATTTGAATTCTCTATTAAAGATGCATTAATGCACAAACTGGCTTGCCATAAACATAATTTGTTTGAAATTGTAACCTCCGCTCACATCATTTTGAACAACTGCACGCCGAAATTAAACTCTCCGGTGGGCAAGGAGACATTGAAACCTGGAATCTAAATGCAGCCCGCACATGACAATTAGTAGATCTGGAGGAGGATTAAAAAAAAAAAAAAAAAAAAAACAACAATGCTGGTGTCTAATACCCTCATATCACATCACCTTTCGAATTCCATCTTTTCACAACATAGGGGCTATTTCCAAGAAACGCTGTCACTGCATTGGCTTACAGACAGCCCTATTCAGTTCATTTTCAGTTCTTCTTCCCTACAGTAGATCAAATCAACAGGCAAAGCATGGCTGGATGCACAAATGGAAAAACAGGACGAATACACTTCATAGCAGGCGGGCAGTCCCTGGATTCGCAGGGAGGACAGGAAAACAGAATAAAAAAATAAAAAGAATAAAATTAAATAAAAAAATAAATAAATAAAATGAAAAAAAGACAGATCCCACTAATAAGGATGTATACAAAGGTAGAAATCAAAATCTACAATGGTTTGATTTACTGTTTGTAAAGGAGATTGGAGGTGTAGGTGAAATGACTGGCCTTTAACATATGAATGACACATGCAGAATGCAGATATTTAATAAGTGCAGGAAGGAAGGGGGGCACATAAGGCAGCTCTCAGGATGATCAGCAGGTTGAAGGATGATTTGGAGAAGAGGAATGAGGGAAGCTGTTACCTTTCAGAGAGTGTCTGCTCCTCTACATGGGCTGATCACTGCTGCCTGGGGCTCCTCTCCTCACCCTCTGCATCCGACACCAACTGGCACAGCCAAAAACAACACAGCGCCTTGTCCCCCAAATCCCAACCCAAGCACCATGGGCAGCTCCGGATCACTTCCAAACTAGCCAGTTCATGTCTCTCCCTCATTAGAGCAGCAGGGCAGCTCTGAGGACGATTGCTGGAAGCCTGGGCTCTCTCCCCTCTGCAGGCTCATTGCAGCTGACAGCACACAGCTACTTTCCCCAGGCGCTCCTCACACGGCGGGGACGCGCTACAAACACATCCATTCGGAACCAAGCTGACTTCGTGCGATGCAACAGTTGCTCTCCGAGCTTTAATCCTTTACATCCCGCATTGTCTAGCGTCCAGCCTCAGCTCCAAATGCCTCTTTACTGACTGACTCTATTCACCTCACGCTGCTGCTTAAACATTGACACTGTTCTGCTGCCAGCCAATCGGGGCCAGCGACGCGCACCCGCCCCGATGCCCTGCCAGCCAATCGCCGCCGAAGGGAAGCTTTGATGGGCGTCTGAGGGCTTGTGAGTGCTTTGTGTCATTGATTAGATCGGAGAGGGCTGACACGGGGACGGTGTGAGGAGGGAGGCCAGGACAAGGCTGCCTTCTACTCCATTGGGTGACTTCCAGGGTGCTGATTGGCAGGTGACACATGGACAAGTGCATGGATCAATAAACATAATAATCAAATATTGTCACACATTGTGCTAGTGTTCTACTATTTATTATGTTTTATACTAAAGAATAACTAATGATTGCTGGGATATTTATCTACAGCAGGGCTCTCCAAACTGATGTGGCCCTTTGTTACCATTTATCCGGCCCTTGGGGGCCACTGAGAACAACAACGGCGCAGTACTTCTCATAAAACCAGTGATGGTGTATTATTCTTCCCACCAAGGGGCGAACTGACCATTTGGGAACTCGAGCACTGCCCAAGGGCCCGGGGTCAGTAGGGGGCCCCATGAGATGTCCCTGGTACCTTTCATAGGCTTTTTTGGGTGTGGTTTGAGTGTGGGTGAGGACACAGGGGCCCCATGATCCCCTATTGCCCGGGGGCCCCATGAGTTGTCAGTCCCCCCCTGCTTCCCACTAATACCAATGGTGGGGCACTCCTAGTTCTCCTACTGACCAACAACCCTGAGGCCATGTTTATTCTCACTGATGCTGGGGTCAGGACATATTTCTATCCTATCCTTACCGGCCCTAATCCAGCCCTCCTAAGGTCTGAAGGACAGTATACCTGGCCCTTTGTTTGAAAAGTTTGGAGACCCCTGATTTACAGGATTTTTTTGAACGTAAACTATATATACATAGACAAAATACAGAAAAGATATGCATAGCAAACATGCATAAAATGTATACATAACAAATATACAGAAAATACATACACAGCAAATATACGGAAAAATATAAACAGAGAAAATATACAGAAAAGTGTTTACATAGCAAATATGCATAAATATAGCAAATATACAGGAAATACACACACTCCAAATGTACAAAAAAATGTATACATAGAAACTATGCAGAAAATACATACATAGCAAATATACAGAAAATATAAACAGAAAATATACAGAAAAATGTTTACATAGCAAATATACAGAAAATACACTCCAAATGTACATAAAATATATACATAGCAAATATACCAAAAATATATACATAGCAAATATATAGAAAATACATACAAAGCAAATAACAGAAAATATAAACAGAGAAAATATACATAAAACTTTTTACATAGCAAATATACATAAATTATATATATAGAAAATATACAGAAAATACACATACTCCAAATGTACATAAAAATATATACACAGAAAATATACAGAAAATACATACATAGCAAATATACAGAAAAGATAAACAGAGAAAATATACATAAAAATGTTTACATAACAAATATACATATATTATATATATATATATATATATATATATATATAATACATACACTCCAAATGTACATACAATATATAAATAGAAGCTATACAGAAATTACATACATGGCAAATATACAGAAAAGATAAACAGAGAAAATATACATAAAACTGTTTACATAACAAATATGCATAAAAAAAAAAAAAAAATATATATATATATATATATAATACATACACTCCAAATGTACATACAATATATACATAGGAGCTATACAGAAAATACATACATAGCAAATATGCAGAAAATTTAAACAGAGAAAATATACATAAAAATGTTTGCATAGCAAATATGCATAAAATATATTCTGGTTGTGTTGGATCTCCACTAATTGTCTTTGATTGCCAACCAGTATTATATCACTGTAGCTCCATTTGTTTAAAAACAATAAACATTATCGTGAAATAAAGATATATATATATATGTATAAAAGCAAATATACAGAAAAAATAAACATAGGAAATATATTAGCAGTTATATACGCATAGCAAATATACATGAAATGTATGCATAGCAAATATGCATAAAATATATGCATAGCAAATACCAAAAATATATACATAGCAAATATACATAAAAATATATACATAACCAAGATACATACAATCCCTGAGCCCTGCCTCTTCAAATAACTAGGCCTGATTCTGGAGAAAGAAATAGGGAGGGTCTAGCTAGGTCTAAACTAGGCAGCTCTAAACAGGAGAGATGGCCATAGAGATAAACCAAAATCACATAGTAAACAAGTTGTAGTGGAAAGAAAGCGATAATAGATGTCAGCATACTGCAGAAAGATGAAGCCTCATGTAGTTCAATACCAGACATAAAAATACATGAAAGTGAGGCATAACATTATTTTTTTTTTATCTTTTAAAATAAGGAATAACTAATGATTGCTAGAAAAATTGATATCAAATAGGTCTACAAGATGTCATTGAAGTTAAGTAAATATATGTAAATACATAGTAAATAAGCAAATATAAATAAAAATGCATTCGTAACAAATAACAAATATACACACATTATGTTATTTTTTCCAATACTTAATATGTTTCATACTACGCAATGACTAATGATTGCAGGAAAATTGATGCCAAATATGTTTACCAGATGTTTTTGAAGTTAATCAAATATATGTAAATATATACATAACAAATATATGTAAAATATATACATAGCAAGTGTTCTTGCAAGTTAAACTTTAGCCAAAATATAATAACAAAACCAACTTTTGATGTAAATTTCATCTTCAATCCGAACATTCCCCCTAAATGCTTTTTTTTTCTGCCATTACATGATCTCAGTCTGGTGACTAGCATCATTTGACCCATTTCTACTGAGCCCAGATTGTTCTGCCCAGCCTGTGACCTGAACAGTGAAAGGAGAAGCAGCAAAGTGATGAGTTCATTTAATTTGTTTTTTATTTTTCATTTATTACAGGTATTTATAAAGCATTGACAATTTATGCAAAGCTTTACATATTGTATATTAACAGTCTCCCACCCTCAAGTAGCTTACAATCTAAGATCCCTATCTCACATTCATATATACAGCA